CAGGCAGCTTGTGGCGTGTTCAGTAGAATGTGTGAACTATCTGACAGATTTCAATAAGTCTTGTGTGCTAGTACACTCAACAGGATTACATTTCCTAAAAGCTGATCGAATGGGACCCTGTATTCCTCTAGAATGTATCCCCGTGTGAGACTTCTGGTTGCATTAAAGGTAAAGGGAACCCTGACCATTCGGTCCAGTCGTGGCCGACTCTGGGGTTGCGGTGCTCATCTCGCTTTACTGGCCGAGGGAGCCGGCATACAGCTTTCGCGTCATGTGGCCAGCATGACTAAGCCACTTCTGGCAAACCAAAGCAGTGCACGGAAACGCCGTTTACCTTCCCACCGAAGCGGTACCTATTTATCTACTTGCACTTTGACGTGCTTTCGAACTGCTAGGTTGGCAGGAGCAGGGACCGAGCAATGGGAGCTCACCCTGGCGCGGGGATTCAAACCGCCGACTTTCCGATTCGCAAGCCCTAGGCTCAGTGGTTTAACCCACAGCACCACCTGCATTACACTGGTGTAAAATGTTGTACCCCAGAGTCCTGATTTCATAGAACGCTAGTTGGTGCAACTGACTTCTGCTTGGAGTTTGCCCATTTTGACTTCCATTTATATTCGCACCCAAGCAATTAAATATACAAGAAACCCATGAGACTGTATCACCTATCAGAGGAGGCATCTGCATAGATAGACCATAAGATCTTCATTGGAGGACATTATCCAGATTCTGCTGCCTAATGAGGTGGGGCAGGTGGTTACTCAGGAAAAGCCCTTCTTGGAAGAGGTGTACCAGTTGCTCCCCCCAGAGAAGTTCCCCTGGCACCCACATTATAAATTTTTCAGCATCAGATGAATACGTTTCTCTTCTCCCAAGTTATTAAACATCCAACGCTTTCCAGTTTTCAAACTATTATTTGCCTTCCCTTGCTAGTTTTGAACTTCTCCCTGCCCATTTCATGCTGCCATGTGGTTCAAACTAGCTTTTATTTTGCGCTGCTGGTGCCTTCATGTGTGGACAGTTTTTAGGGCCGTTGATTGTATTTGCACTTTGTCCATTTTAAATGGTGAACCACCTAATAATAATAGTTTTTATTTATACCCCGTCCTCCCCAGCCAAGGCCGGGCTCAGGGCGGCTAAGAAGCAATAATAAAAAAGTTGAATGAATACAACTTAAAAACAAGATTAAAATACAACATTAAAATATTGAAATATTAATTAAAATGCAGCCTCATCACAGAAGGAGAAAGGAAAAGGAAAAAGAAAGAGGGGGAGGGAATCAAATTGGCTCCAAGCCAAAGGCCAGGCGGAACAACTCTGTCTTACAGGCCCTGCGGAAAGAAATCAGATCTTGCAGGGCCCTGGTCTCATGAGGCAGAGCGTTCCACCAGGTCAGAGCCAGTGTTGAAAAGGCCCTGGCTCTGGTTGAAGCTAATCTAACTTCCTTAGAGCCTGGGACCACTAGAGTGTTGCTATTTATGGACCTTGAGGGTCTCCGTGGGGCATACCGGGAGAGGCGGTCCCGTAGGTACGAGGGTCCTAGGCCGTGAAGGGCTTTAAAGGTCAAAACCAGCACCTTAAATCTGACCCTGTACTCCACCGGGAGCCAGTGCAGCTGGAAAAGCACTGGGTGAATATGCTCCCATGGCAGAGACCATAGACACCTAGAAGATTTGGGCTGTACAGAAGTGTATGAAAACATGGCTGAATCCATCCAGCCCTTGTTTGCGAAAATGATTTCTGCTCACACAAGGGAAATTTCCCCTCCTTCCTTCCAGCACCCCCAGAAGGAGGATTCCCCCCTCCTGGAGGAATGGTGTGGGTGTGTGCATGCAAGGGACATGTGGGCTGGTGGGAGGAAAGGGAGGGGACATTCTGTTGCAAGAGTGAAAGTTGTTCCGCTCACGCAGCGGCTCAGTTGGATTCCAGCCCAGCTCATCTGCAGGCATGCTAGCGTGTGTCTGTTGGTGAGCGATGCATCGCCACATCGGGAATGGGCAAAATTCTCCCCAGCTGCTTCATTCAAGAGGCTACTGCCACGGCTATCTAGAGAGATGCATTTTGGGAGAGAGGTTTAGTTAAGTTCTCCCCGCGACTATTCTGAGCGAATCAGTGCAGCTTTTAGTGTTGTCAGCAGGAGGGTTGGGTTGGAAAGCTCTGCTTCATCTTGGTTCATGGAAAGGTCAGAGCACAGCCGCAGCTGAAGGAACACGGAGGAACACTTTTTAAGGCTGAGGGGAACCACAAATCTCTATTATTGTTATTATTATTACAATAATAGAAACAATAATTTCTGAAACTAACAAAATATAAAAGTTACAACTAAAATAAAGTGCACCAATTATACATATATGCATAAGTCTGCAATACAGTCGTACCTTGGTTCTTGAACGCCTTGGTACTTGTATGTTTTGGCTCCCGAAAGCCAAAAACCCAGAAGTGACGTTCACAAATGTTCTTTGGAAGTTGAATATCCAATGTGGCTTCTGCAGCTTCTGATTGAGTGCAGTAAGCTCCTGCAGCCAATCAGAAGCTGCACCTTGGTTTCCGAACGGTTCCGGGAGTCAAACTGACTTCAGGAGCGGATTAAGTTCAACAACCAAGGTACTACTGTACTTGCTTAGGTTTATTCTAGCTTTTCTGAGTGGCTTCCAAGTGCTTCACTCAGGAGGACCCAGCCTCCCCCATTTTTACTGACTTCATCTGAACAGCCTCGTTGGAAGGAAATCCCCTCCCCAATTAACTCCCCCTTTTCTTTACACAACTCTTGTACATCTCTTTGCACCTATAAACTGTCCTCCCCCTGCCATTTGTTTCTTCTCACCCTTTTTCTGTTACCACCCAATTTCTTCTTCTTTTGCGTCTTCTTCATTCGAGCCTACCTTCCTTACAAAAGACATGGCAAACTGAGATGGGAACTAGGGAAAGAAAAGTGGGCGGAATCGGAAAACATTTTTTTGGTCTTGTGCCCAGTGCTATTTTTTCTAGAAAAAATAGGTTATGGTGGCAATGGCACCCACCTGAGAGATGTCAGAAATGGGTTCCAGTGAATTCTGGCTGAGAAAAAAGCCCATAGTACCTTAATCGAAGGAAAAAGTCAAGACAGCATTACTTTCCCCTCTGTTAACAGAGCTGAAAATTATAAAAATTAGCATTGGAATGGAGTTATGTGTCTGCAAACCTTTTTGAAGTTAAAAAGCAGTCCCTGTACAGTCGTACCTTGGTATGCGAACAGCTTTGTTCTCGAACGTTTTGGCTCCCGAACGCCGCAAACCTGGAAGTGACTGTTCTGGTTTGAGAACTATTTTTGGAAGCCAAATGTCCGACAGGGCTTCTGAATGTTTTGGAAGTCGAACAGACTTCTGGAATGGATTCCGTTCGACTTCCAAGGTACGACTGTACTCATAAAGCTTGGGAGCCCTTGACCCTATGTGGAGGTCCTGGGATCTCTAACAAAGTTCCACAAACTGTGACTACCTGAATTCCTGGGAGGAGGCAAGGGAGCCAGGAAAACTTGGTTATAAAATAGTTATAAAATTAGAGAGCTGATTCTCCTGAAGATCTATACTTTAAGCATGAGGATTCTCCATGTTCTGCCTATACCCAATGGCAGCACTTCCTACTTAGAAATAAGATCACCTATGCTAGACAATCTCATATTTATAGTAAATGGGACTTTGTCCCCCAAAGTAAAAATTGTGCATCTCTCACCTGGCTCAATTTGCCTTCTGAATAATAGGGCTGTAAAGGAAAATAGCACCTCGACCACTCCACCTTATGAGCAAAGTGAGGGAAAGCAAAGCCTGTATTCCCCTCCCCTACCAAAATATCCCCAAACCTGTTGGAGATTGAAAGGGGCAGTCAAGTTAAGAGTTCCAGCAATTAACAAGTTGAAATTGGATGTGTGTGTGTGTGTGTGTGTGTGTGTGTTAAATGGATTTATTATTCAGATACAAATACCCAATTTTTCATCCCATGGGACGCTCCGTCCCATAGGACGCACCTAGTTTTGGGGGGGGGGGGAAATAAAGGAAAAATTTTCCCAGGTCGGGGAAACCAAACCAGGTCGGGGAACAGTGGTATGGCGGCGCTGCGCCTCCCCGCTGTCCCCCGAGCTTGTGGGGCTGGCCGATGTCTGCCCGGCGCGTGGGATGCTCTGCTTCAGGGCGCCCTGCGCACCGGGCGGCAGGCTGCTATCCGTAGCGTAGGGAGCCCTGCGGGAACTCCCGCGGGCTCCCCAGGCTTGCTGATAGCTTCCTGAAGCCTGGAGAGCGAGAGGGGTCGGTGCGCACTGACCCCTCTCGCTCTCCAAGCTTCAGCGAAAGCCTGTATTCGCCCCATAGGACGCACACAGATTTCCCCTTCATTTTTGGAGGGGGAAAAGTGCGTCCTATAGGGCGAAAAATACGGTACATCCTCTTAAAAGATTACAAGACTAACACTTACTTTTTTAAAAAAAATGTAAGTCCAAATGGTTGTAGAAGACTAAGCACTGAGCCTAAAATAAACCTGTAAAAATCATGCTGCTAAGCTGACAGGAAATGTAAAAATAAAGACCTGGTGAAAAGAAAGGGCTGGGGAGTTGACAAAAACAACAATATTATTTTGCTCTTTTATAGATCCTGCCCAGCGCGCTCAGGCTCAGACCCCCTTCTGTGGATGCCCCTCAAAACACATTCGGAAGGAGCAGGATTCTGCTAGCAAAGTAGGCTGCCGAGCAGCTGACCTAACTGCAGATACTGTAAAGGCAATACGCTACGTGGAACATAACTGTGGAAAGGAACGGGCGCTCTCTGGTTTCGGAAGATGCAATCAGGGATTTTGTAATGCAATCTTAAAAGCTGAGGATGGAAACCTCCACAGTACAATACCATCGTAGAGCAAAACTAAGCCTGATAGGCTGCTTGGTGAGAAAGTACTCCAATAAGTGAAAAGAGGAGAAGAACCATGGATCTTCTCTGGAACTCCTTGAAAGGTGGGATAGAAATCAAACAATTAAGTAAATAAGCAAAACAAGCACTTTATTAAGAAGTTCAATATCATAATAACCATAGGTTGTTATATTATTTTGTGACTACTGCAATGACAATTCAGATTATGTTTCTTTGATATACTTTACTAAGACACTTCTTTCTGGGGGGGGGGGAATCAAAGAACTGCACCTTAGATTTGCTTTAACTTTTCAGAAATGACACAATTTCCTTAGGAAGTTAATGGCACACGGCCACATACACGCAAAATGTTGGTGTTCCATTATAGTGATGAAGAACCTCTTGCCCTCCAAATGTTGGTGGACTACAACTCCCATAATCCCTGAACAAAGGACATGATGGCTGTGGCTAATAGAAGCTGAAGTCCAATAGGATGTGGACAGCCACCCCTCCATTAGGGCAACTTGATGAAAATAGTGAAAGACCTGGAAAGATGATCTGTCTCAGTGTCCAAGTCTTAGTGTAGCCCACTTATCTGAAGAAATGAGAAAGATGAAAAATATTCATCATACAAGAGCTTCAGTTTGGCTTGATGTATTCAACGGTTGTGTTAAATTCAGTGGTGAATTACAGATCAGCCTTCGTTCATATCACTGTTTCATACAAACTCGACCAATAAGGTTTTATTTTAGTTGTTTTCCCCATTTGGTGTACTTAAATTAAATTTGTTTGGCAGTGTCACTTCACATCTTGATCCAATTTCAGCATAGAAAAAGAAGCGCATGATGGTCAACTTATTCTGCAGATAAAAGAACAAGGAAAAGTTCCATCGATATCATGAAAGCATCATTATCAAACCTACTGTATTACAGTTTCATTTTCAGTGATATGCTTAATCCGATGAATGCCGTCTGATTCGGTGGAATATAAAATTCCCTCTTAATCTGTAATGTCCCAAAAGTATCAAGCCCTAACTGTGTGAAAAGGTTCATCTATACTTGGAAACAGAAAACGGTAAATAAATACTGAATTATGTTAAATGATAACAATCTCCAAGGGCGGAGAAAGACATCTTCTGAGAGGGAGATCTGAACTTGCAAGCCGCTTCCAGGATGCTGAACAAAAGTTAACAGCTGGTCCTCCCGTGAAGATGGAGCTGTGATGTTGGAGGGGCCAAAAATACACCATACTGGGGCAGGCCAGGAGAGGAACATCAAAGGCCTCACTTTCCTCCATCATGCCTCTGGAATGAGGGAGAAATTATACAAATCGTTTGTTTCCCTTCAATTGGAATCTACCAGAGGAAAACTTGTAAACACATATAGGCTTGTGGTGCTAACCTACTTCCCTCAGTGTCAGTGGAAAGAACCGTTTGCAAAAATAAATAAGAGTGTGTGTGTATGTGTGCGCGTGTGCAATTTGGGTTTTTTGCAATCTTGGCTTCCTGCCAAATCAGCTTTTTGTGGCCTGAATATGTACATACTTGGGCCCTATCAATCTTGCTTCATGCATCTTCTGTTTTAAAACCTTTTTATCACCTCGCTCCTGTCCTCTCAATCTCCTCTGGCTTGTCCACATCCTTCCTACAATGTGGTAACATGTAACTGAACGGAATGCTTTGGCTGGGGCCAAACAAGCACTGACCAGAGTGATGCTCTGCCTTAAATTGAAGGCTTTTGCTAACTCATTCCAAAGCGGTGTTTATTAAATGTGTTTAGTGATCACAGAAGGGTAAAGAGACAAATGGAACCATCTTGATAAGCAATAATCTTATCTTTCGGTCCCAGTCATTTCCCCGTCAACTCCTCCTCTCTCACCCCTCCAATGCAACCGGCGTGCTTTTATTTTTAATGACACTGGGTGGAATCCAACTAAGATCTTTGTGCTTATGGAAGGGTTTTGGATCCTGCAAACACTTACAGAAGAGCAGGGGGAGGAAGGTTTGGGGTGGGTGTTTTTTTTGTTTGTTTGCCAATTTGCTCTTCTTACTGCAAGCCTGAATACAACCTTCTACCCTGCTCTGAATGTTCCCTCCGTGGAGCAAAAATCACCTCTATCCCTCCATTAGCAAAAGTATCCCCTTCTGTCATCACATGGAACCAGCTGGGTTCCACTCATAGACAAGATGAAGTTGTGGCAGATGGGGCACGAATGAAAGAAGAACTTACCAATATGGAAGACTCTCGCTTCTGAATATTCTTGTTAAACTTTCAAAATCTTCATTTTTGAAGTGTAATTCTTCAAGCAAAGTAGCCAGGAACTGCGAATATCCTTGGCTGTGCTGGGAACTTGCAAAGACGGGAATGTTTTGCGACAACCTGAAACACAATGTTGAATATTTAAAAATATATATATTTACAGTTCCGAATAGGGTGTGAGAGAGGGGAGAAAACAGTCCCTTTCATATAACCCAGAGGAAACTGTAATAAAGTCCAGTAATTATTAAACATCAAATATATCCTTTGCCAAATACAATTACTAAACCGGCAGAAGCACATCCAGGGGGAATTCCAGACGCATGTCAGTGCAACACACATAATGCTTCAGGACTATTCATTAGGATATGATATTTGAAACCAAGGTCCCAATACAGAAGAGTCATGCAACCTTTTGCGCTTAGGAAGTCATGGGCAATAATTGTGCACAGTGGACCCAGATAACACACAAGGATATGCATCTTTGCATCTGTCTTCACCGCAGAAGACATAGGGCTGATACTTGTGCCTGAACGGATTCCTCCAGGAAGGGAGCCTGATGAATGACAAATATTTGTGACGAGTTCGAGGTCTTACTGACCAGCAAGGGTCTGGAGAGTATCTGTTGAAGAGTTCTTAGAACTCAATTGTGAAACTGCTTAAGTTCCATCAAAAATATACAACTTGTCACTAAAATCAGCCTCTGTATCATAGGATTTGAAAGTGGTCACTGTAACAAAGAAGGGATTGGGTGGTGGTCAGAAATTATAGGCCAGTTACTGCAGTTTTCACTCTATAGGATGCACTTTTCCCCCTCCAAAAATTAAGGGGAAATGTGTGTGCATCCTATGGAGGGAATGCAGCCTCCTTGGCTTCAGCGATAGCAACGCGAAGCCTCCGAAGCACAGAGGGAGCGCTTCGTGTTGCTTTCGCTGAAGCCTGTTTCTTGATTTCCCCCTCTAAAAACTAGGTGTGCCTTATGGTCCGGTGTGCCTTATGGAGCGAAAAATACGGTAGGTTGGATGGCCATCTGTCATGGATGCTTTAGTTGAGATTCCTGCATAACGGGGTAGAACTAGATGAAGCTCATGGTCCCTTCCAACTCTTCAGTTCTAAGATTCTATAAGCTGTGTATGTGTTTGTTTGTTTTGATAAATATACTGAACTTGCCTTGTTACGTTTCATGATTTCTACAAAACGCCAGGAAACTTCCCTACAAAGGCCTTTCAGATGGTTATTTAATTTAACTTTACCCACTGCCCGTGGGCACATAAAATATGGATAAAATAACTCTCGGAAATGGCAGATCAATGGGGAGAGAGCGAGAGGCAATCAGAGCAGTGCATTTTCTTAGTTGTGCCTTGGCTCCTTGAAGCATCCGAAATCAGGCTTTGGAAGAGCCTTAGCAAGAAGCAACGGTCAGACCAACAGATAAGCAGCTCAAGATGTCATTTTATGAAGCTAAGAATGACGAGAAGAAAATCTTGTTACTATTTTAAAAGACCCACCGCTGATTTCCTCCCTTAACAGCACTGTACATGTGTGTGGCTTTTTTTTTAAAAAAAGGTGTTGAACTCAGGAGGTAAAATGTCAGTCCGTAAGAAGAAAAACCAGTCTGTCACATGTGAACACAGAACGGTAAAGCTGCCAGCAAGTTAAGGGTTTTCATCATTTCATATGCACCTCAATTCTAAAGTTTAAAAAATCCCAACACAACAGCAATTGGACTAAAAGCACCACCGAGTGATCAGAGGCATCTGCAATGCTTTGTCCATGAAGCCACTTTCGCAGACCCCGAGGTTCAGAGCAGCCCTCCAAAACTTTCCCCCTTCCCTAACTAGTAGCTTTTTGATTCAGGCACCTCCCTTTCAGCAGCAAGCTTTGCCCATGTTGGCAGAGACCACGACACCAAAGGGAAGTGGTTTTCAAACTGTGTTTGAGGGAACTCGGGGGGTTCTTCAGAAGCTTGGCAGGAATTTCTCAACAGGGAGATCAGCAATGGATAAGCTTACTTGGAAGAACCAGGCTGGGGTAGAGCTTCAGAATGTTGGACTGAGTGGGTGGGACCCAAGTTGAAGTCCACAAAGCTTACTGGGTGACCTTGGCCCACTCAAAGGCAGCCACACCTGCCTCACAAGCTGGTTGTGAGGATAACATGGGGGTGGGAAGAAAACCATGTTTAATGGCTTAAGCTCCTTGAATGAAAGGTAGGAAATCGGGGATAGGGAACCTTTCTTCAGACTGAGGGCCACATTCCTTACTGGTTAACCTTCTGGGGGCCACATGAAAGTGACAGGCAGGGCCAGAGGCAAAAGCAGATGGTGCAGTGGGTGTAAATGTTACCTTTGCCTGCTAGGCTACTTTCTAGACACACTAGGGCACCTCTATCTGTCATGGGCTGGCTGGATGCAGAAAAGTGGTGGGAGGCACCAGCTAGGGAACCCCCAGGGGACCCCCCAAAGGGAAAAGACTCAGAGCCAGGGGATCGCTGGTGGGACAATGATGAGTGGTCAGAAGTAGAAGAGGGAACAGACTGGGAGGAGGAGGGGGTGTCGGAAGCTGAAGAGGCAATGGGGTTTAGTGAGCAGGAAGAGGCTGTGGCAGAGAGCAGTCCAGAATCAGCGGCAGAGGCGGAGGAAAAAGGGGGCCAAGAGGTAGCAATGTGTCAGGTTGGTGAGGAAGCCAGGAGGTCTTCCCTTCCTGCTGTGATAAGCTCCCCTTCCCCTGGTCCCCCAGAACCTGAAGAGGTATGAAGAGAGCAGAGCAAAGACAGACAAGACAAAAGAGCCTCAGACTGCTTGGGAAGGAACCAGGGTAAGAGGAGCCTTAGGGAGCTTTGGGAAAGCGAGGACCTTCAGTCCTGGCAACTGCCTCATAGGGGCAAGTTCCACCAGGAAGAGTTGCTGTGCTCCCTAGGCCTGGCCTCCTGAGCTGCCTGGTTTCTTTGAATAAACAGCTCCCTGAAGCCGTGTGAGTTATTGCTGATCTGCTCCAGACACTGTCCTCCATCCAGGCAAGTAAGAAGCCATGTAAAAATTCAAGGACACATTCTGGCAAAAAAAATTGGGGTGTGAAGTTGAGTCAGTGAGGAATGTCGCCTGGGCAGAATGGTTGTGGCTGAGGAGGCAGTGTAGACCAGGCAAAGTCCTGAAACCTATACAGAGAGGCCAGCTTTGGCTCCTGGACCTGAGGCAGCCCCCTCTACTGAATCTCCACTGTAATGTGCAATCACAGAGGATTCATGGGAATGCCCTAGGGCACACCTTCAGTTCACGTGAGGCCAAGGGGCAGCTCCTCATCAAGAACTGAGTGGGCATCCTAAATGGCTCTCCAGAATTCTCTGCAACATGCCAATGCTAAAGTCCGCCCCCCGCCCCCGCGCCACTATAGGGCAGTGGGGGCAGAAAGCTAACTGAGCTAGCATGTTGCGACCTTGGCTTTAAGAAATGTCTCTCCCTTTCCCTTTGCAATCATCTAACTCCCCCACCCCACTCCGCAATTACTTCTAAGTAGTAAGGCAATAATTCAAGGTTTGCCTATAGGCGGCCACCTACGCAGAGAAACCAAGTGCTGGGTTTGCACTAAAGAACAAAAAATGTACCATGCATCAGATCACAGACGAGAAAGCAGTGCAGCCTTGATACCCTTCCATCCAGCATATGGCAAATAGGCCTTGGCAAAGCTAAGAAAAAGCTAGTGTGTCAAGAGTACATCCAAACGACAGACTCCTATTAAGCTGCCTACTCCACAGATGCTACACAAGAAAAAGCTGAGTGAAAACTCATGTTAAGACAAGCAGCAGCACCGGGCTACTATTAAGCAAGCTATTAAGCGACAGCTGGTTAACATGAACAGCATTTGCAATTCTCCCTCTTCCCTAACAAAATGAAGAAATGATAAATCCCTAGCTTTTTATAAAATACTTTCCCTGTAAGCAGAATCTGCCAGTGCGGTAATAATATGCACTCAAGTTCTCTAGTATTAGAATATTTTAATTCTCCCCCCTTTTTTTAAACCTGAAAGTAAATCTTGTAGACCTTTTGCAGCGAAGGTTATTTTCTCTAACACCAATGTACCAGACTACATCCATGCAGAATTGAATGCACATTGCTCAGTCCAACCCACAGATTATATTGCAATTACTGGATTTGTCCTGATATAATAAAAGCAACTGATATATGTACAGTGAAGTATGCCCTGTTGATCAGCAAAGGATGTCCCAGGTAAATGCGTATAGGACTGTAGCCTTCCCCAAGACAGGACTAGAGTGACAGTAGCATAGGATGAAAATCACGGACACATTGCCCCTTGTCCACTCCTGCAGTGCTAACAGAAGCCAAGCCACAGTTCAACTTAGTGTTACAGTGAGGGTTCAGTGGGACTTACTCCTAGTAAGATAGCTCAGTTGCTTAGAGAATGGCGCTGGTAATGCCCAGGTTGCAGGTTTGATCCCCATATGGGACAGCTGCATATTCCTGCATTGCAGGTGGTCGGACTAGATGTCCGTAGGGTCCCTTCCAACTCTACAATTCTATTATTCAAAGTACGAGAAAGATCCAGAATGTGGCAGCTAGACTTGTGACTGGCAGTGGCCGCCGGGTCCATATAACACCGGTCATAATGGATTTTCACTGGCTCCAGGATGTTTCTGAGCACAATTCAAAGTGCTGGTGCTGACCTTTAAAGCCCTAAACAGTCTCGGCCCTGTATACCTGAAGGAGCGTCTCCACCCCCATCGTTCAGCCCGTACACTGAGATCCAGCACCGAGGGCCTTCTGGTGGTTCCCTCACTGTGAGAGGTGAAGTTGCAGGGAATCAGGCAGAGGGCCTTCTGGGTAGTAGCACCCTCCCTGTGGAACACCCTCCCATCAGATGTCAAGGAGATAAAGAACGACACAATTTTTAGAAGACACCTGAAGGCAGCTCTGTATCGGGAAGTTTTTGACGTTTGACGTTTTATTATGTTTTTTATATTCTGCTGGAAACCACCCAGAGTGGCTGGGGAAGCCTAGCCAGATAGGCGGGGTACTACTACTACTACTACTAAAATCATCATCATCATCATCACTGCTGCCATGTAGCACAATCTTATATCAATTTCTTCAGGTGCAAGTCCAAATAAA